ATTGAACAATCTGAGACTGTGCAATAGATAAACAGTTTTATACTATAGTTATATAACAGAAGAGAAATAGCCGTTTGACTCATAAGCCACTGAAGCAGCTCCATTAATGGCAGACAGATTCTGAACAGACTTTGCCCAGTTTAGCAAGCGCCTCAAGCCACTGTGTGGCTGTTTTCTCCCGAGGCCGTCTGCTGCTGTCAAGCATGTTTAGAGGTTGGTTAGAAGTTGTGGTAGCAGGCCGGGTGTGGACTATAATCTTTGGCAGCAGCTCAAGCCTCTGGAAATAGACAAGATGGAGGGTTGTTGACTTTCTTGTGGAAGCTTCAGGGAGAGGGAGGGAGTATTTTGAGCGGAAGGCCATGGACCAGGGTCTGTCTCTTCCTTTGGATGAGGTGGAGGTTAGCCACATGTGCTCTGAAAGGAACACATGGGAATCCTTAGGCGGTGGGAAAAACAGGAACTGGGTGGAAAGGTGTTGTTTTGGGTATGGAGTGTAGTAATTCTTTATATTCTTTCTCTTTCCTTTTGTCTCAGTTTGTCTCTTCCTGTTGTCTCTCTGATGTCGTGTCTGGGTTCTGTGTTCTCACACTCCTCGCTGTTGCACTATAAATGGTTTTCCATGCCTGAATCACAACATCAGCATGATCCGTCATTAAAGCTCCCATATACTCAATTTGGTGCTCCGGTCAAGTCACATCACCTTTATTTATATAGCACTTCATACTTCCTTAAAACAAGCAGCTTTAGAATATTAAACATGAAAAAGTCACTTTCAATTAGAATTACAACTTCAATTTCTACTGTAAAGCAGCTTTCCAGCGCGTCCACATATTTACTTGCGTCTGACATCGATGAACCAGAATGAACCATGAGAAGATTTTCACATCAAGTATGTGGGAGCTACAAAGCCAAACCTATTATGTACCTATTATGTACCTATAATGTAACCACCATGGCCCAAAGGTTAAAAGGTGTTTACCAGCCGAAGCAAAGTTTTCCGGAAAGTTTTCAAGCTGTTTCAAACTACCAAAATGAATGGCAAGCAAACTTTGTTCTTGGCATGAGTTTGTTTGAAATTACGTCACACCCATTCGTTCTTTTATTCCCGGACACGTCCTGGCCAGGATTTCTATATTGCCGAAAATATCCAGGTTTTGGCTTTATTACACTTGCTGAAAGTAGTGATCGAAAAGTAGCTTGACCAATAACTTGCAGGCATTGTACATAATTGACCAATCGTGGCGCGTGAGAAGATGGGATCTACAGAGAACGGTCAAAGTGATGCAAATACGCGTACATATGACCTATTACCTGTACGTAATCACCATGGACCAGTGGTAGTTTGAAGGTGATTACTAGCCACAGTGAACTTTTCTGTAAAGTCCGCTTTATCAAGCTGTTTGAACTCCAGGAACAAACTCTAAAAAAGGGGTCTCTGCCCCTGCTTCTGGAGAGCTGCCATCTTGCAGATTTCAGCTCCATCCCCAATCAAATTACTTGAACCAGATAAACAAAGTGTTCACAGGTACTTGATAATTACAGGCAGGTGTGTTAGAGCAGTGTTGGAACTGAATTCTAGAGGATGGTAGCTCTCCAGGAGCAGGGTTGGAGATCCCTGGAGGGCCACTGTCCTGCAGAGTTTAGCTCCAACCAGGTCCAACACACTTGCCTGGAAGTTTCTTGTAAGTCTAAAGACCTTGATTACTTAGGTTCAGGTGTGTTTAATTAGGGTTGTAGCTACACAGTGGCCCTCCAGGAACTGAATTTGACACCCCTGCTTTAAATTAACTTTGCTTTGAAGTTTATTTTGTGCGAAATTACATCATATCAGTTCGTTCTTCAGAAAATCCTACCAAACTCCACCATGACTTGGATGCGAGACCAATGTACTGTTCTGGTTGAACCTTGAACCTGGTTTTACTTATTTACAGGATTCTTTACACATGAATGCCTTTTTTCAGAGTGCTATTTGTGCACCGATATCAGCAATGATTCCATGTTCCGTAGTGGAAAATCCCAACTGACTTTCTCCAGCGCCACACGCACACAAACACTAACACAAGACGAGGGGCAAGAGTCAGGTTCGGTATGCTGGTTGTGATGGCTTCCAGCTCACCGAGTTGTATGACATGCGTTGAATGGCACATTATAAAGTATTCAGGAGATCTGCTTCACTGATAAGCCCCTATGCATTTGACTGACATTATCATGCCTACGTCCCACACTCCTTTGACCTGCGGTATGGGGCGGCTATATCTTTTTTCATCCTTGTTGTTCTGTCATCCATTATATGTAACACTGCACCTTTGTCATGCTATTGATTGTGCCCAGCTTTCTCATTTCAAACTTGCTCCAAGTTGGCTTGTTCAGGTAGCTAATCTTCTCATGCCGGGTAGTTGTTCGGTGCCAAGTGGGATTTCGTTCTCTTCAATGATTGGCAGATGACGGCTGTAATGCAGAAGTGCTCAGGTATTACACCCAACTGGCTCTCAGGCTTATATCACAGCACGGTCACAGCTTTCGGTGCCAAGTGGGATTTCGTTCTCTTCAATGATTGGCAGATGACGGCTGTAATGCAGAAGTGCTCAGGTATCACACCCAACTGGCTCTCAGGCTTATATCACAGCACGGTCACAGCTGTCAGCTCAAAATGAAAAGCAACCAAGCAAATCCACCACACCAGCTCTCATGCTAATTAGCACAAATGGGTTCTGCGCGACACTGCTTCGGAATCCCCCTGCAAGATCTTCATCAAAGAGCTGCTCCACTGCGTCTTCTGCTGCGCTACTGTACATGCCTGGTGATTAAAAGGCGTTGGATGTAAATTTTTTTTGTTGGTTTGTAACATCGCCATTTGGTTTTAAAAATGCACCAGGCCTTAAATGGATAACGGCATAGAGTTTTGATCATTTTATTTCTTTTGAGGGCCAATGCTAATGTTTGTCAAGGTTTTATTGCATTAAAAATAGTGATAATGTAATATTACATGAGCCTTAGGATAAAACAGGCTGTTTTTTGCTAATGTACTTATAAAGTCTCAAAGTAAACTTTGTCTTTGTATGTAAAATGAGATGCAAAGTTTAACACATGGGCTATGGGTTTTCTGTTGGATTCAGTCAAGTTTGTACACTGCAGAATTGTTTTTCTTAGTATTTCTGTCTTGTTTTCCATTACAAATATCTAAATATTCTTGAATCAAGATAAATTTACTTGAGAAACAAAATGACTTAAGATATTAAGTCTTGTTTCCTGAAAGATTTGTCAAAATTTTGATAGTTTTTGCTTAAAACAAGAAAAAAAAAAAAAAAAAATCTGCCAATGGGGTAAGAAAAATTATTTTAATTCAGAGGGAAAACAAGATTTTTTTTCTAATTTTAAGAAAAAACACTTAATTTTGATACTTTTTTTTTTACTTAATATCTTCTGTCATTTTGCTTCTCACATAATTTATCTTGATTTGCATTTATCCTAAAAAGTAATGATAATGTAAATACAAATTTCTGAATGCCTGGCATTGTGACAAGCATCTTGAGATGTTCTGTCTAAAATCATCTAAATTTAAAGGGAAAACAAGATTTTTTTTCTTGCCCCATTGGCAGATAATCTTCCTTGTTTTGAGCAAAAAATAACACAATTTTGATATATATTTCAGGAAACATAAAGTCTTACGTAATTTTGCTTTTCAAGTAAATTTATCTTGATTTAAGAATGTTCAGATACTTGTACTAGAAGACAAAAAAAAAAAACAAGACAAAAATACTAAACAAGAAAACATATATAGATTTTTTGCAGTGTAGAAAACCTTTATTCAATATCAGCCTCTTTGCAAAGCCAGAACACATTGTAACAAAACAAATTTTGAAACATAGTTAAAAATACAGTTGACCCAAAAATGAAAATTCTGTTATCATTTACTGTTATCAATGTAATTTCAAATATGTATGCTTTTCTTTCTTCTGTGGAACATAAGAAGATAAAATGAATGTCATTGGGGTCCAAACAACATTGGACCCCTTTGATTTCCATTGTATGGACTAAAAACATATTTTTCAAACTAACTTCTTTTGTGTTCCTCAGAAGAAATAAACTCATACAGGTATGGAACAATAAGAGTGTAAGTAAATGATGACAGAATCTTCATTTCTGGACAAAATTGATCAGTAAAATGTTTAATGGCCACATAACTTCAGCAAAACTCTCCTACATTTATTATTGTTGGTTATATACTTACTGGAATAAGATCTACTACTTCTCATGTTTTGAAATAATAGTATCTAGCCTACTGCCTCCTTATTTCTTCATCTTGACTGACTGAGCGACCCAAGTTCATGAATGCTGAATAGGCATTGTTGACGTAAATGTGGGCTGTCGTGTGCATTAATCTGACATTAAAAAGTCACAAAAAATCGTAACTAACCATTTCCCCCGCATCATTTCAGTAAATGGTTGTTTTTGGACACAAGAGAAGTTTCTGGTAATGAAACCTACGTTATGATTACGTGTTGTTTTTGAACTTTTTATAAGTCCTTCCTATAAATGAAATTTATAAAACCTCTAAAAACCGCTCAGAAGTCTTACGGCAGCAGAGCTACGAAAATTAAAAGCTCTTCTCGGCAACAACAGGAAATCTTCAAAATGCAGCTGGCAGAAGCAAAGAACACCCCCGTCCCAACCTTGACGTGCAACACACACAAATAAGAGAGGAGATCCCTGGCGGGTACACCTGCAAAAGTGCCACCATCAGGGACCCTTGCAGATGGTTCTTCGTTAACATGATGGCCGTCGATCTTAGTGGCTCATCTCAAATTCGGATTCTCCATGTTTGTCCATGAGCCAGAAATCTATGAAGGATGTTGTGGTTGTTATGAGCTGCTGTAATGTGGTGAAGGTTGTTAACAAAAGGAAAAGAGAAATATTACATTAGCAGAGTGTTGTGGATATGTATAGATGGGTTATAAATGAGGCTAATCAATGTTTCTTTCTCTCTTTGTTTCGTCCAGTTTCCTGAATGTGGCTTTTATGGGATCTATGACAAGATCCTCCTCTTCAAGCATGACACCAGCAGCAATAACATCCTGCAGCTGGTCAAGGCTGTGTCGGACATCCAGGAGGGGGACCTGGTGGAAGTTGTTTTGTCCGGTAAATCGACTGGTATTAACCAATAGCTCAAAAGGGGTTCAAACACGCAGCAACAAAGCTATTGATTATTAAGATATGATTATTTCTGGTGACATGAAATTAATGATAGTGACCACAAAAAAATCGTAATATTAAAGAAATAAAAATGTCAAAAACACAAAATGAACAAAACCTAAATGAGTGAAAAATGAAACTGCTATTTAAAAATATTAATATATGCTATAGGATATAAATAATACTAAAATATCACCATAATAAGTCTGAGATAATGATAATTTCCCAAAAATGTGTCCCTATTTAATTTATGCTGAATACTGCAATTTTATTTAGATTTTTTTTAAATGAAATTTGACCAGAATCAGATATAAATAGAATTCTTTTTTGGAGATTTACCCATAATACATAGAGATTTTCAAGATAGCACTGGAACATAAATCCATGTTTTGTATTCTTTTGTTGACTTATTGAAGCACTGAAGTGATATAAATCAACAGTATATGACACAAAGTAATTTCCTGAAAGTTGACACACTTTTTAGAATGTTAAAATGCCATAATGTCAATAACTGAAATCTGAACAATAGCTTTTAACAAGAAGCCACGTCACTGAACTGAATATCAAAGTCTCATTCGGTGCATTTTAACATTTTATCTAGTGGAGAAACTCCCACAAGCTCCAGTTGTTTGAACATGTGAGCCTGAGGTGAAGAGCCAAAGTGGAAGATGTAATCAGCAGTTGAAATAACAGATTTAGAGATGGGGAGATACTGTATCTCTGCAACTCACACAGCTTCAAATGCTGCAAATCATGTGAATTTGCAAAATCGGCATAATAATATTTTCAAGATCAAGACCTGAAAATTTTTTAAAGAATGTACAGTAAAAGTAAAAATTTTGTAGTAGAAAGTTTACAGTAAAAGTGAACAGAGCCATTCAAGCCTTAAGCATTTTTGTTGTTGTTGTTAAATTAACAATAATAATAATAAAAAAACAGATCTGTTGAAAACTGTATTTTCAAACTTTAAAATGTTGCATATACAACTCTTTCTCAATTTAGGGACCGTATTGGTGTATTGTGTTTCCTTTCATTTATCACTCAATTTGGTCATAAAATGTCTAATTTACCTTCATAAAACCTGCAGAAATCCTAAACAGGGTTTGCATGACATTTGAGCAGTTGGTACTGATGTCTCCTTTTTGCAATTTTGTTGTGTATTCTGCAGCTGCTGCTACATCCGAGGACTTCCAGATTCGTCCTCACGCTTTAAACGTGCACTCGTATCGTGCACCGGCGTTCTGCGATCACTGCGGCGAGATGCTTTTCGGCCTGGTGCGTCAAGGACTCAAATGCGATGGTGGGGACTCTGTCTTTCACAAGTTGTATTCTTCATACTGCACTTGTTTTCATTCAATCATAGCTAGACTTGTTGTGAGCTGTCATGCCACTACATTTATTTTCCATGTCCCAGCTATCTCCATCTATGTCCAAGAGTGCTTGGACATAAGTGTGATAAATGTCCACAGTGTCCAACTTTTTGCCCTCTCACTGTCTCCCCCTGCAGGTTGTGGACTGAATTACCACAAGCGCTGTGCTTTCAGCATTCCCAATAACTGCAGCGGGGCGAGGAAGCGGCGGCTGTCCACCACGTCCCTCACCAGCAGTCAGTCTCTGCGTCTGTCCACCGCAGAGTCCCTCAGTAGTCTCAACAGCAGCGTGACGTCTGAAGAAGCCAGTCTCATCCGATCACACACCCAGATGGTACAGCACACATTCAATTCCATGTTTAAAATATTTGAATTAAGAAACATACTGTATGTTCCTCAGTAAAAACAACAGCTTTTGAGGAGACAGATTAAAATAAGAAATGTGCAAAGTGAATACATGGAAAAGTTGTACATCTTGATTTTAAGTGTATTTTTGGTGTTTATATTGTGAAATATAATACAATATTTATATTGTGTTATTGTCAATATTGTGAAATATTATTACATGGCAAAACTGAATATTCAGCAGTCTTTATTGCAGTCTTCATTAAGTATGAATAACGTTAAAATCATTATAGTGCTGTCAAACAATTAATCGCATCTAAAATAAAAGTTTTTGTTTACATAATATATGTGTGTGTACTGTGTATATTTATTATGTATATATAAATACACACACATGCATGTATATATTTTGAAAATATTTACATGCATAAATTTATATTCATATAATTTATATTATATACTGTATAAATATATATATATATGTATATAATGTATATATACAACAATGGATTTTGATTTAATGGCATTTATCAATCTCAGTACATATTAATTGCAACATTTACTAATACATTATTGAAATCAAAAGTTTTCTCTGTTAGTATTAATTCATGGACCTGAGCTAACATGAATTAACAATGAACAGTTGTATTTTTTATTAATTACTGTTAACAAAGATGACTAAATACTGTAACAAATGTATTGCTTATATTTAGTTAATATTAGTCAATGCATTACTTAATGTGGCTTAACTAATTAACCTTATTGTAAAGTGTTACCAGAAAAAAATTCATGAACTATATTTAGTAATAATATACATACATTTTGCAAGGCGAGCCACTGCAGGTGAATAGGGTAAAAAAAACAAAAAACTAATAGTTATCGCCTTACTTACCCAGCTGATTGATTACATTAATAATTGCAAACATTTTTTGTATTACAAGTTTTCTAAAATGTTAGGTTTAGATATGAAAATGAGTTATTATTTAATGAAATATGCACTAATTTGCATACATTTCTAGTACAAAAATCTAAACACTGGATGATGTCAGTTTCAAAATTCTTGTTTAATTTTTTTGACATATTAGAGTCAAAAGTGTTTACAGAGGGAATTTTGGGTATCTCATTTTTGTCACTCCATAATTCAGAAAATGCCTAGAACGGACAAAAAACCCCCTATATTTTCATAATTTTTAGGGGATTAAAATGTTAATCATGATTAAAATAATCAAGCAAATTATATATGAACAAATCTCTCTGTAAAAACCTTCAGGATATAGACCGGAATAAAAATGCAAAGTTTGGTGTGTGTAAGTACTACTGAAGTGGAGATTTATGGCTCAGCGTAGGAGAAAAAACTCATTTTGAGAAAACGGCCTTTAAAAATATGTATTGTAATTGAAATCTATTGACACAGATAGATAAAAGTGCTATAAAACCCAAAATATCAAACTTGACAGGTGCATGAAAAAAGTGTTTTTGCCTGCAGTGTCTCCCCTTATAATCATCATGAAAAATATCATCTCAACAAGTAATTTT